TAATATAATATTGATAATATAATTTAATAATTGTTTATCTATAAATAATATAGACTATATGTAGGGTATTTACTTGTAGCAGCTTCACGGCTAATTATCCTTCAGGGTGAATAACACTTTCTCCTGCCTTTGGCGCTGACTCTGACTCTGACTCTGGTTCATTTCGACTTTTCCGATCTCCGCTGTTGATTCATTATTTTTCGCTTTTTCAGCGCGCCTTATGCAACACTGCAACAGCACACACACACGCACGTGCTTAATTGATATGCACACTATATCATATTATCTGTCATATTCATGCTCGTTTTGTTTTCTTTCGATTCGATTCGTTTCGTTTGGCTGGTTTGTTTTTACTCTTAACAATTTGTTTTCCATTTGATTGAATTATGTCCCGCTGCAGTTGCGGATTTAAATGCAATTTTCAACTGCGCCCGCATTTAATTGCATTTCAATTTGCCGTCTCATTTAAACATAGTTCAACATGTTATGCAATTTACCAACCATAAATAAGTCCACAGCTCATTGTAAATCTCAGCTCTGATTGGGCATCTCCTCTACTGGCAAATGCGATTCTGATTGGATTCCAGTTACAACACGTAATTGTGAGCGTCAAATCGAATGGTAAAACATTCAAATCAGATGCCAATGGATAAATGCTCTCTTATCTCACTTATTCATATCAATTAATGTCCGTTTGCTGTCCCATTATTACTCCATATGACACAATGTCAATTATATGACGAATTCAAAAAAATTAATAATCTATAATATAAAATGAGATATTTATGAGCCGATTTATTTTTTAGACAGCTTGAAAAAGTCATATATTTTTAACGAATACTCCGATTTAAAATTAAAAAATTTTATTATATAAAAAAATGAACCAATTCTGATCAAGAAAAGTTTAAAGTCTGTATATTTTTAATTAATTGTTCAATAACATGTCGAAATAATTTGATTTCTTTTTTTCTGATCTGGAGAGTTGGAGAGTTTTATTCATGTCTGTGGGGAATATATTATAATAAATATACAATATTCTTTATATAATTGATGATAAAAAATATTTGTCTTCCTGATCTTTGAATAAAGAAATATACATATATTGTATATTTACTCTGTGTACAGGGTATCTCATAGCTGTCTACTTTTAACGACTGCCACAGCCTTACCTAACTTTCATGCAATATTTCTTTTCTTTTCTGAAGTTATGAGTGCGTGCTTTTGAATAAAGGTTAACATATTGCCTACTCTATCCCTCAATGGCCTAGTTGGGTGCTGTCTCTGTCTTTCAGTGTCTGCGGCTCTGGCTGCGGCTGATGCCACGCGATCTTATCTAGCTAATTTCACATTTGCTGACGCTGCGGCTGTTGCAATTGTCTCTTGTTTGCCTGCTTATAAAATATATATTTTTTCATGCAATACAGTTGACTACAGTAAGGGCAGATATTATACAGAGCAACAAAGCTAATGATGCTTAGCAACGAAGGCTAAATACCCTAAGGGATAGATGTATATGTAGATTAAAAGTTGAGTTGAACATGATATTCTAATGCAAAGTGCGAGAGAGAGAGAGAGAGAGAAAGAGAAAGAGAAAGAGAAAGAGAAAGAGAGAAATAGAAAGAGAAGGAGAAAGAAAGAGAAAGAGAGTGGGAGGGGGGGAAAGGACTGTTGATTCTGATCAAGAACATACATATGCATAAATAAGCATACATATACTATAGTCCTTAGATTACAATTGACTCTGGAGCATCAATATGGAGCAAGAATATGTAAAAACAATTAAAATACTTAACAGCACTAGAAATGTTAGCAGAATTAACATTTATATAAATACAACTGAGCAAGCAGCATAATCACTTGTAACTATACTGTAGACTATACCTTTACGATTCTTGGCTGTCAATATGAAAGAAGAATATATAAAGATAATTAAAATAGAATCTCTTTACTTAACATCATAAAAAATGTTAACATAAAAATGTTAAATGTTAAATGTTAATAAGATCTTATATATGTTAACAGAATCGATATAGAACCTATATAAATACGATTCAAATGTCAATAGCAATGCAGCATACCCAGTTTTAATCACTCCTAATGGGTATAGGGTATGCATGCAGAGCTCAGAACAAGCAATCACAAACCAAATGACAACCAAAATGTGTTCAATTCCATTTATCATGTAGGCATGATAAGCCTGATAAGCGGCGTACTTTGTGCATGTACCGCTTGTCCCTGCCTGTGTCTTCTTCTACAACTTCTTCTCTTTCGTGGGCTCTTTCTGTTTCATTTTGAGATTCTCATTTTTTATTTATTTGTTTGTTTTTGTTTTGTTTTTCCCTTATTGCGATAAGCAGCCAGTCGATAAGGAGGAAGAGGGCGAGCAGAGGGAGTGGGCGGAGGTAGAGTGCGGTAAATAGTATCTGTATCTGCAGCTGTTGTAGGTACAAGCTGCATCTTGTCATCGCATCAATGAGCTTGAGCCGCATATAGTATTTGCGCACTCACACACACACACACACACACACACACACACATTGCTCTCAGTCCATTCAACTGGAGCGTATCTGAATCGATTCGAGATTCAAGACTCAGTTTAAAATAGCTTTACACATTGATTATTATGGAATTATGAAATTGTGTATTGTCGCAACGTCTAGTTGACCTCATCGAATAGGCCCAATGTACGAATAATATGATCTTAATGCAAGTCTGCAATGCATTCTGTAACAATCGATACCCTGTAAATTTAGAAATCTGTAATAATTTTAATAATATATTTTATTTTCTTATTATTGTTGATTTGGCTAAAACAGGAAACTGTAAATAATATTTTATTTTTATGAAATGAGGGAATATATTAATAACAGTAAATAATTTGTATATAATTTGACTAATTCATATCAAATTTTAAAATAATGAAATAAATTGGTTTAAAGCTTAAAAATTTTTATGAAATTTTGAAGTATCCAAAATATTTCCACAAATTATTTACGTTTATTTGTAATTAAGGGGACTAAAGTATATATGTGTATGTATTGTTGGAGTGGGGCAATGCTTGTTAATGGGATTTGGCATTAACATGTATATACAGGGTATCTGCTAGCTGGCCGTCCCTCTTCAATGCCGCTGTTCGCTTTGCGCTGCTCGCCACGCTTCAGTTTCGAGGTAAATCACGCTTTATTTCATTTGAAAAGCAATTTGCTATGGCCAGTGAGTATCCGAGCGAAAAGAATACCTGTGGGGCGAACAAAAGATGTATGTATGGGTGTATGCATAGCCAGTCTGCCCCATATGTGTGTAAGTCATTGTTATATTATGATTATGTAGAATCGGCTGATTGGGGGTGATTAACCCTATTTAGATGTGACTGAAAATTCATTCGGACTTGTCAAATTCGATGATTTTTCATAACGTTTCTCTCGATACTCTGCAGATTTGTCATGCATAATGATTTCTTGAGCATTTGCTTTTACTCTTTTTTTACATTTTATTTTTGTTGCTTTGAAAAATAGTAATTATATAGAAAACAACAAAGCAAAACGTATAGAAAATAATTATACAATTTTTTTTTTACAGCGCTTGAAGAGTTTTTCTTCTTCTCTTGGCGCTTATGTTTTTTCTGTATGTATATAAAAACACATGTATATGTATATACATATATTTTTTATTGTTGCTTGTCTTTAGCTTGTGAGGTTCATAAACCTTTTGAGTGTTTACCAATTATCATGATGAGTGCTCGGCCAAGATGAACGAACAGCAGCCCATAGAAACGTGTGTTTAAGCAATTGTAATCAAATGTCTATAAAATTTAATAATTTAACAACTAATGAAGCAACGAACTTCCATTAAATTTATGTAATTGCAGACTGACAATGATGCACAATAAATTGATGCAGTTCCTAATTAGTTTTTGTTTACAAATTGAGTTTGCATTGTTTGAGAAATTTGATATTTGCGCATGTTAACCTGAATGCAAATCTAATTATTAACTGACTAATTGATGGCTGTCTATAAACAAGTTCGAAAAAGAAAGGGAACACACTTGAATGATATCCTGTAAACTTCGAAGAGTGTAGCTGAAAAAATTAATTAATCAGAAACAGAAGCTTTAGACATTGCATAAAGCCAATATACTCTGCTCATTTTATGGGCGGGCATAAAAGTTGTTTCTGGCTAAAATTTGATGGATATATAGATAAAATATATATTGTGCGACTCTTAGTTATAATTAATTTAGACAGTTATTTTTTTTTTAAATTTATAAATGAACATTGCGTAAAGTTCTTGATTTATATTTAAATCACATTAGTAAATACATCACCTATTATTAGTTCTTTTTATCTACAAAATATGTGTGTGTGTGTGTGTGTGTGCAACCCGAGTAGCTCTGATAAAATGGGGTATATGCAGTCTAGTCTACCCTTATCTTTTCACTCAGCTGTGTCGATATTATTTTGATAAATTAGCTGCTAAAACAGCTTAAGTCAAGCAAATAAGCAATGTTCTTGGAAAGTGCTACATATAGGTGTGTGTGTGTGCGTGTGCGTGTGCGCTTTAATATGTCAAAATTATAAATTGACTAAATTGACTGTGAAATGTGCAGACTTGAAGCTATTAAATAAGCTATGTGTGGGAGCGAACTGAGCTGAGAACGAGCGACAGCAATAACAATAAATTGAACTAGCTGCAAGCATCTGGGATATGCCATGCCAGCCACTGAGGCAGCATGTTCACATGCTCTAGACATGTGTAGCAAGAAATTGTGAACAATTAAAATGGCAACAGCAAAAGCAACAACAGCGAAGGCATATTGATTGCAATTGCAGCGAAGCGAAGTGTACAATGCGGCGTATGCGCAACGTTGCAAAAATCATAAGTAAATAATCAACAAGCTGCAAAACAACAGCCATAGCAACAACAACAACAACAAAGACAGCAACGGCAACAAGAAATACCTAAAATAATTATTAGTCCGGCACCAGAGTCGATTGCAATGATATATATACACATATATATATATAGATATACATATATACTACAAAGTCCAATGATCGCTTTAGCAACTATTGTAACTAACTCTGTCTATATGTATGTACATATATACGTATATATTTAATACATATGAAAGCTTTTGTTTTTCAGTTGAAACTGTTATGGTTAAAGTGAGCACAAAACAAACAAGCAAAAAATGCTGCAAACGGGCGTAAGCGACTGCATAATACTCGTTCACAGCCAAAGCCGTAGATCAAAAGTATTTTACCAGAATAACATGATGATGTTGAGAAGATGATGATGAGTAGATCATTATGAGATGATGAGGAGATTATGAGAAGGAAGTGATAGTGAAAGGAGATCTAAAGCTAGATCCAGCTGCAGAGCTTGGGATCTCTTGGGATAGAGTCCCCTATGGATGATGTCTTATTTATGAATGCATATTATCATAATCTGAATCCTCAAAATCTTTAACTATAATGTAATTCATTTGAATTTTTTTGATCATTTAAATATTGCAAGTCCCATAAATACAGCTCAAACCAATATACCCTCTTCACAGCGCCAGCATGAGCATGAAAACAGTTAAGCAAACAGACAGAAACATAAACAGACGCATGGCTTAACCGAGGATTGAGCTGTTGTGTTGTGATTCATGGCTCTATTGTTGCACTTGCAGTGAATCCCACATTGCTCGTGGCCAGCGATGTGAGTCATTTGAGTGTTATCAAAAGAAATTTCCACATTTTCACAGGGCACCAAGCGCAGCGCGCATTTATCAGCGAGTACGTTGAGCAAACAAACGAGACATGTAGATATCTAGCAAAATATAATTGCCAATAGCTGCAAGAAAATTAGAAAAATCATTTGAATAATGTGTGAATGTGAGTGAAAGTGAAATTCAAAGAAAATCTAAGCCAAGTGAGAGTTGATTAATAAAACAATAATGCATGAAACTGAAAGAGCGGAAAAATCTCTGATAGAAAAAATAACTAGAGAAGCGCTATCTACTACTATCTACTACTATCTATTGCTATCTACTACGATCTACTACTATCTATTGCTATCTACTACGATCTACTACTATCTACTACTATTTACTACAATCTA